GTAAACAGGATCAGAGTGCAAGAAACCGAGAGAGATGCACAGGAGCCGAGACAGACAGACACAGAGAACTCAGGAAGGCTAAGGGAGGGACCCGGGCCCTCGGGGCAGAGCGAGTGTGCTGAGAAACCCTGCAGGGGGACCCCCGCATCCCTCCACCTCCAACGAAGGCCCCTGGGGCTGCTCTCCGGCTCCGAGGCTCAGCTGGCCCCGGGGAGCGGCTGGAAGGACGTGGCGCGCAGCAGGCTGAGTAGCAGGACCGGGGTCGCCGAGAGCAGGCATCCGAGGTCCCACAGAGAGGAGGCCTGGGAGTCAGCGGCGTGTCCTCTCGGGGCCCCACACACCTTCTGGTTTCGGCCTGAGCCGGAATCCCGCTCGGGCTCTGGAGAGTGGCGCCCCTGGCCCGCTGTGCCGCCTAGGACAAGCGCCCCGACCTCTCTGAGCCCTAGCTATGCACCTGCAGGAGGGTAGCGCCGGTGACCCGTTCAAACGTGCGGTGGCTGCGGGTCAGAACGGCCCGGGGGCCTGGGAGACAGAGCTCCGCCTGGGCTTGGCGGTTTCAGCACAAATCCCAGGGATTTTCGGCCCCGGCCGCTGCCCGGGGCTCCGGTTGAGGCAGGACTTGCGCAGAGGGGAGAGCCCGGCGCTCGCGCTTCCTCTCTCGCGGCTGAGAACCAGTCCCTCCCCCCAGCCCCGCCTGGCGACCCCTCCTCTCCACATCTGTGCCAGGTTCTAGAGAACCTTCCCCAGCCGCGAGTGTAGACACACAGAGATGTCCCCGTGCCAGCACGCGGTGGTCGTGTAGACGGTCGGGCAAACACAGATGCACCACGCAAGGTCCTGTGGACGCGGGGAGCGCCTTGGGGGCCCGAGCGGCGAGGGCGCCTGCGGAGGAGCAGCGGCCCCTCGGGGCCTTCACCCCGGCGCAGCTCTCAGGCCCGGAGCCGGAGACCTGAAAGCCCCGGATAATTAGAGCTAATTACATGTGTGCAAACAGCCGCGGCAGAGGCCGCGGGCGGGCCACCCCTCCCGCGGCCTGACCCCCGCGATCCCGCCCAGCGAAGGGGTGTTGCTGGCACAGCCGGGGCTGAGCGCTGGGAAAGGGCGCGCAGGCGGAGAGGAACCTGCGACCCAGGGCGTGGGGTGAGCCCTCCGCCTCCAGGGCGCCCCCCGCGATTACACTCTGTAGAGCCAGCTGCGGGCCCGGGAAGCCCCGGAATGGCTGGGCTCCGCCGGGTTAGGAGCTGGGACTCGAACTTGGTCCCAACTCCCCTCGGCCTTGTGTGAGCGGGCCCTGGGGGCGCGCCAGAGCATTTGGGTTCTTAGGCTTCGATTATCTTGGCCTCCTGAATCCCGTCTCTGTCGCAGATTCGAGGGGGCTCCCCTTGTATCCTGTCACCCGAGGTCGGCCATCCCAGCGAATGCCTGCCTGGAGCTGAGGCCGCGGGGGGGAGGAAGGGCCAGAGCCTGGTGCTCGGCTTTGGGTGATCAGCTGGTCTCTGACCTTATGGGCCACACGACCCTGGAAAGAGTGACTGTTCTGAGCTTTCGTTTGCGCATCCATGCCCTGCACGCTCCTCTGCGAGGCAGAGTCCGACGGGCAGGAGAAAGGCGCGGATTCCTCACGTGTGAGTGGGGCTTTGCACTTTGCAGTGCTGGCCTGAATCAGCGGTCTAATTGTGTGGTTTCGGGAGCCTTTGGCGGGTTGGGTTGGAGCGGTGGCGGGGTGGGGCTCAGAGAGGTCAAATGTGGCATTGAGATCACACAGCGGGGAGAGGCAGATGGTTTTCCGGACTTCGGATTTCAAGTTCAGACTCTGTTCAACTCTCCTTCACCCTTCTCGGACGCCCCTGAACCCCCGGGCACCTCCTGCGCTCTGCGAAGCCTGGGAGTAGGGAGCAGGAGTGCAGATCGCGAAGCTGTCGCTGTTCGTGGGGCCCGCGGCACCCGCTCGCTGTGGGCCCATGGCGCCCCCTTGCGTCCGTGGCCAGCGGTGCACCCCGCTCCCGGCCCGGCCCGCCCCAGCCGTCTGGTCTGATTCCTCCGCCTCAGTTGAGATTGTGCACGAGAGGGTCGATTAACTGCAGAAAGGGTGGTACGAGGGGACACAGGGATGCGCTTTGTATAGCGGGGTCTCAAGGGCACCTAGTGGTGACACAATAGAAGGGCTGAGGGCAAGAGACATATTTGAGACAGGGTACTAAGGGAAAGGCCCCTGGAGCTGTAGCCCCTCCCCTCCGCAAGACTGGGGATCTGGGGCAGGAGCCCTGCTCTGGGTGAACCTAAACCAATGTGCCAAAGGTGCAGCTTCCTGAGCTCTGGCTGGGAGGACAGGTGCCTAGGTGCTGGTGCAGGGAGGTAGAGTAGCTTGAGCCCAGCGGTTCTCAAACTTCTGGAGCATCAGAGCCACCTGGAGGGCTTGCTAAAAAACAGGTTGTTACCCCACCCCCACCCCCACCCCTGGGGTTTCTGATTCAGGGGTGGAGTTAGAGTTAGCAGTTCTAGTAAGTTCCCAGGTGCTTCTGGTCCAGGGACCACACTTTGAGAATCACTGCTCTGACCCCTCAGAGAACTTCCCCTGAGGCCCCAAGGCCCAGGAGCTCCACATTCACAGCACACCTGTCTGGGTAAATCTTATTCTGGTCAGTTTCATTTCCTGGTCTTGTCCTCAACATATGAGGTGCAATGTGGCTGGGCCTCCAAGCTTCTTCCCCCTGGTCCCTTCACCCGTGTCTCAAAAAAGAATTACTTTTCCATCTTCTAGATGGGGCAGTCAGGCAGGCTTCCTGGAAGAGGTGAACTAAATTTAAAGCACTGCTAGAGGGGAGTTAGGGGAACAGCTGGCCAGAGGCTGAAGGGTGGAGATTGAGACAGTGTAAGACCCTCCGATGGCAGTGTGTAACATGGCAGAGACTGGGGGTTCTGCTTTAATGCTCCCCCTAAAAACACACAGCCCAGGGCTGGAAACAGGGGCAAGAGGGACTGCTAAAAGCACCCAAATGAATGAGCCATTGCGAGCTGGTGTGGCTGGGGCTCGCTCTGGTGGCCGCAGAGTCCTTCAGATGGTGGCTCCAAAGGGGTGAAGGCAGGAATAGTCTCAGTGGCTGCCCTTCCTGCCTTGGTTTCTCCATCTGAGGAATGTGTGTCATGTGTCTGCTGTTTCCCTGACCTTCCCAAGCTGCCAGCAGGATAATATATGGAAATTGCTTTGACCTCCTGAGAAAAGAGGGTCTCCAGGAATAGAAAGTTCAGCCACTAATCCCGTCCCCCCAGACTTCCCACTAATTCCTGCTTCCGATGTCAGCCTGGCAGGTTGAGTTTAGCAAAAGAAAGAACAACTTAGAGGGATGATG